TTATTTATTTTAGGATTGCATCATTTTATTTGTGACCTATATCATTATTTCAGTCGTATTAAAATCCTTGTGGTTATATAAATCTTTTTGCGTTACACTTGGATAACAAGGATTATATTACTGGATGTGGGATGAATAAAAGTGAGAAATTCCCCTGATGCCTCAGGTCATTTTTAATGCATGCAGAGGTGAAGTGGATGTGTAGTGTGAGTATGTGTGTGTTGTGTCTTTCTCTTACAATAAAAGATGTTCTCAGTTAAGTTAATGCATTAGTGTGTGTGTGTGTGTGTGTGTGTGTGTGTGTGTGTGTGTGTGTGTGTGTGTGTGTGTGTGTCGTGCCAGGGCCACATTAGAGGGGCCTTTCAAGTCATGTCGGCCTCCTCCTACTCCTCTGTATAGTGCTTGTGTTGTGGTCTGCTCAACAGCCAACCTCCCAGAACCCCCTGCAAACTGTGTGTGTGTGCGTGCGTGTGTGTTTTCCCATATGAACGTGTCTATAATGTTGTAGGGTTAAATCCTGCTAGATTTCTCTTTTGTGTCCCTCTCCCTGTTTCCGCCGCCTCTTCTCTTTCATATCAGTATCTCCCTTTCTTTGTGATTAATACAATAGAGATCTATAAAAATTATGAGTACTGTCAACTTTGATTGTGTGTGACTCAGTTTTGTAGTCACCTCCATGCTGCAATGATAAGTCTGCAGCTCTGCCCCCTTAATGTAGTTGATGACAAACTTGGGGCCCGGTCTCATCATCCCTTCTACACACACCCACACCCACAGCTCTTTGATACGTATGCCAATCGCTCCAAGCATGCGCTAACACATTTCAGCACACTAGCACTTATTGTGGATTGGGTTCAGAATAAAAGGTTAGCTAACGCTTTGATCCTTACCAAACAGAACACATGCTAGCACATTATTGCTGTGACACACCATGCCATTGTCCTTTATGTACTAGCCAAAGGCGAGCAGAAGACAGTGTGTACATCTTTTATATGCTGTCAGTTTCTCTAAAACTCTCCACATGCGCGATAGTAGCTGCCTACTGTGAAATAATACAAGATGTTTAAGCTAATGAAACTCTCAGCGGTGTGTCAGCCTTCATTAAGACTATGTTTTCTTTATTCCACAAACAGATCAGCCCATTATTCTCACCTGGGCTATTCTCAGTCCATAAAGGCTGTAACGATGCTTATACCGGCTAAAATGAGCCACGGCACAGAAAACATGTTAATAAAGTGTTAATTAGCCTCAGTACAGTAGCTAGTTGCACTGTAATTACTAACCATCCTTCTTGTCTGACTGAGAAAATTAAGAGTGATTTTTGGCGGTGAGACTAGAATTACTAGAATTATTAGAATTACATATAAGGGAATTAAATTATCACTATTTTAGGTTTAATACAATGAACTGTGTTCCGTTGTTACGCATTATATTGCACAAAATTGTTGAGTTATTTTTACAATCACTTAATTGTTTAAGTAAACACAAAATGAGAGGTTCACTGGATCCAGATTGTGTTATATGAAGTCTTCTAGGATAGTAAGTTGAATGTTTTGACTGCTGGCCTGTTGGTTTGACAAAAAAAAAGTTATTTTAGGATGTCAACATGGACTCATTTCACTTCTATTTTTTAAAAAACAAATGATTAACTGAGAAAATATTCGACACATTAATGAATAATAAAAATAATCGGCAGTTGCAGCTCTACAAAAGTTTGACATCTAACACAAAAACTCATTTAGTTCGTTTTTAATGAAGATTTGCTTGGAATCATACATTTGGACAACAGAATTTTGTTAAACAGGAACAAGATATGATCATATGGTCACTATACAATTTCAACAAAAGTTTACACATACTAGAGATACAACGATACAACTTTTTCTTTTTAACACCAAGTACCCATCTGATAGCAGTGCTTCCCTTTTCCCAAATTTAAAATCTCTATATCTTGTTGCGGAGAACTTAATGGAATGATTTTTAATCATCATGTTAAGTAACATAAAACTTGAGTCAGCTTTCGACTGAATGTAAAACTGAATTATATAATGATACTGACAAAGAAACGTTATGGCTGATACCTGATTTGTTCCACAAGGTAAGTACTAGCACTGCTGTGGATAATATTTATGACGAGCCTGACAGAGCATATGAAAGGCTATTTTAGGTTATGTTGTTACTTCCATTCTCTTTAAAGGTGTAATATTTCTGTGCTTCCAAACAATTTGACAGATTCAGACATGTGCGTACGTGCCTCTGTTTGTGTGTGTGTGTGTGTGTGTGTGTGTGTGTGTGTGTCTGTGCATATGAATTTACAAACACCTTTACACACTTGTGTTCGTGTGTACTTGTGTCTGTTTCTTCACACTGTGCATCTGTGTGTCTTCATACCTGCTGGGCTGGGCTGAATTGACTGGGCCCGGTCAGCATGAGTAAGCAGTCAGGGAAAGATTGAGGCAGCCAGATGCGGCGGCCCCGGACTACCGAGGATATCATTACCCCGGGTGTGTAGCCGGCCAAAACGGGAGCCCCCAAGCGGAGTTTCATCAAGGTGGACCCCGTCTGCAGCGAGGGGGAGGATACCGGTTAACCTGTTGTCCTGCAGCGAGGAGCGGTATTAAGCGGCAGGTGGAAACAGAAAGCATCCCCTGACTAGAATGAGGTGGAAAGAAGAAAGTGTGGATACTTACAGGGTAGCGGGGTGACACACTCAAACTGTGAAAGATTGTCTCTTTTGATTTCCCTTCCCTGCTCTTTTTGCAACTCAACAGGGAACCTCTGTGTGTGTTTGCATATACATTTTACAGAAAGTTTTATATTATCATTTTAAACCGATGAGTCTTATTCTCCATTACCATTTACCACAATATAGCTTTACTTAGAGCACACATACAGAAATGTATCTCTGAAAAATTTCCATTCAAAGGAAATATCCCGGATATTTTTGGTGCAGAACTTTGACAGAACAACTTGATGCATGGCTACTGGCAACAACATCAGCAGTATCTTCATACGGGAATTGGACCGTCTCCCCTCAGTGAGGTAACCCATAGGCCATGAATCACGCTGCCTTGCTCCAGAGTCCTGTGGTCCCGGGGGTTGACAGTTTGACCGCTCCTCAATGTGGTCTCTCTCCTCCACTCACGCTCCTCCCATCCCCATCGCCACACATTCCAACCACCGGACCGGTCACGTAAGGTCAAGAAAATAGAACAAAATAGAACAGGATGGAAGAGAAGTTGTGTGTAATGTATCTTTTCCAGGTCTGGTTAGCAGGACCCCCATTTGCTGTTTTACATCCTGAGCCCTTTGCAGATTAATGACCACAGTTTGCGGAGGAAAAGAATGACTGTTGGATGACAGAGAGAAATAATGCATGGAGGGGGAGACAAAAGGGCCTGTAAGAAGGGTATTCCTGTGTGTTTCTGTTTGCAGCTTGTCTGCTTTGGCAGCTGAGACATGGAGCTAGTCTGGCAGTCTGCCTGTCTGGTCCTCTCCGCTCTCTCCTCCATACTGGTGGGTCACTGGTGTTTGGATCACTACAGCTGGCTGTTAACCACCGACTTGGAATGAGCTTCACTGCCATGTGTTTGATTTAGCTTAGTCATTTATTATATACACACAGTATGAAAATTAAAGTCATATATCAAAAACTTTATCTTGGAAGGGAAAAAGAAAAGAAAACACAAAGACAGGGTGATAGAAGGATGTACCAGGAAGCCTGAAATGATAAATAAAATGAGACCGGAAAAGATTGTAATACTAATAATAAATGTACTAAAGTGTTCCACCAATTAAAATCATATTTGTACCTTTTTGAAAAACAGTGAGTTCATCAAAAGCTTAGGCGAGTCCAAGTGATAAATGGACAGTTCATCCGGTGCAAGAGCGGCCCTTGAGCGAGTGGTTTTAACTGTGCCCCAGGCCATACTCCAGCTGAGTTAAACACACCCCGACGTGTGTGTGTGAGAGAGAGAGACATGACACGTCTGAGGGTGTGATGTAGTCACTTCCTCCCACCGGACTGAGCGACTGTTGTCAGCTTGACCCTGCGCCAGTTAACCCCTCACCACCCCTGGCACCGCGGGCGAGGGCCCCGGGTCTGTGTGTTTGAGAAAGAGAGAAAAGACAGATTGTATGTCTGTGTGTAGCGTGTGTGTTGGCGGACCACAGGTGTCTGGTCACGGTGTCAGGGTGTTAAGAGGTCTTCTCAGAGCTCCCCCCCGTCTCTCAGCATCTGTTTCCGAGGGAGGGAGTGGCAGAAAAGAGGAGGAGAGGTTGGCGAGGGTTACCAACACATACCCTGAGGGGTGTGGGGGGCTTGTTGCCGGGGGGCAGTAGCTGACAAGCAGGTGCCTATGTTGACAGTAACCCTTCATACTTGAACCCCACGTCCTCCCAAACACACACACACACATTACCCGCACTTACAATAAATCCTGAAGAGTCAAGCATAATTGCGGCGCCTGATTGGAGGGAATGCAGAGGGAATCCCCTTTTACACGCACATGCACACACACATCACAGGATCTTTTTGCTTGGGGTCAAAGGTGAAAGGAATAGAGCACACACAAGTCTGACATTTCCTGCTGTCCGTGTGTGTGTGATTTGCGTGCGCAGTGACCGACACATGTGGACCATGTGAACACGGACAAAGGCACGGGATTGTTTCCTGTTTATATTTCTTTTCCCAAGACAGCGTATACTTTATATACATATGCAACAGTAACAGAGATTCTGCAGCATTCATGCTTCACGTTTTTGTGTTTTCAAAAAAAAAGAAGCAAATACGAGTGCGTGTGTTTGTGAATGAAACCCATTCGGACCAAATGTTAGTTAGTCAGGTGTACCGATGCATGTCTGGGAATGATTATTTTGGTAAGAAGGAGGGGAAGGCAGCACACAGCGGGAGGTCGAGGAAAATTGGAACAGCTGTTGATTAACATGAGTGCTCTCTCTCTCTCTCTCTTTCTTTTTCTTTTTTTTTTACTCTCTTTCAGTAGAGGAGGAAGAGGAAGATGAGGAGATGATGGAGGCGAAGCCTGGCCCCGAGTCTGAGCAGCAGGATGAAGATGACAACCGGGAAACCAAAGAAGGTACAAAGGACGAATGATGAAGAGTAAAAATGGTCAACTATTATCATTCTAGTGATCCTTAAATGGTCAACTATTATCATTCCCTACTTCCAGCTTCTCAGTTTGGATGATGTGTGATCTTCGGCTTTAGGGAAGTGTGATGGGCCTTACTCACTGTTTTCTGACAGTTTATAGAACATACAATAGTTAGAAGAAGATGACAACAGGTAAACCAAAGAAGGTACAAAGGACAGATGATGAAGAGTAAAAATAGTCAACTATTATCATTCTAGTGATCCTTAACCACCTCAGTAAGTTCTCTTAAAGTCAGCACCCTCCTGCATAAATTCATTTATGTTGCAGTTGTAGCCCCGATTACTGCAAACACAAAACTTCCCATTCTTCATCCTCTGATCTCCTTCTTCTATCGAGTTCTCACATGCTATTGGTCAAACTGTCACGAAACACGGTCACTTGTGTGTGACACCCACATCCAGTCAGTGGGTGTATCAGATGGAAGGGTGGGGGGGGGGTTGAGACGGGTCCAGCATATCAGCTCCATGGCATGTGGGGGTCAGTACTGATTAAAAACCTGTCACTTGACCCCCCTGACCACACTTCAAAGTGAAGAGGAATGGAGTGTGTGTGTGTGTGTGTGTGTGTGTGTGTGTGTGTGTGTGTGTGTGTGTGTGTGTGTGTGTGTGTGTGTGTGTGTGTGTGTGTGTGTGTGTGTGTGTGTGTGTGTTCATGCGTATGTGGATAATGTTGTATCCTGTAGTACCATGTAGTAAAATACAGAAGGCCATGAGTGGGTAAAAACACAACACATGATGCACACACAGATGGATTATTCATATTAATTTGCATGCACAATCCAGACTGTACCGTGTGTGAGTCAAACACACACATAGTCAGATGTATGCACACACGCACTCAAAAACACACAGTCATCCGTCTCCTCTCCATCCTGGCCTATTAGAAGGTCTGGCCTTTGATCTCTGCCACTCGATTCACTGGGTATTTTCTGACAACTCGTAAGAAATACAAAGGGATGGGGGGGATCAAAGTCAAGAGGCAGGGTAAAGGTCGATATATGTGTGCGCTTGTGTGTGTAAAATCGCATGTGTGCTTGGGGACAGTGACTTCAAAAACCGGACGTCGTGCTGTGCAGCCATTACGTTCAAAGGGAGGCGGGTCGCTCAGAGGGCTTTGTTTTTCTCTTGTTTATGAAGTTCTTACTGTAGGGTTTTATTAGAAAAGATGCATTAAGAACTGTTTGTAGTTTATTATGTCCTGGACCCGATTCTGGTTTTGATAGAGATGAAGTGAATGTTAATCTGACATCAGAAGCACACGATATACTCTTTATATTTTTTGCAGAAGTAGACATGACATTTACTGCAGACAGTCAGATACAGTAACATATCTTTAATATTGTCAAAAGTAGAATGTCATAATGTCAGTTGAATAGAATAAATAGACATTTTTCAGTTTGAGGCGGTTGAACAGTAATTGAGAGATAGCATGGTTTTTGATGGCTGTTTAAAAACAGAAACCTAACTGTATTTTGCAGGTCACATAAAAAACTATTATATATACTTATATTTACACGATTTTAAAGGCCATATTTGATACTACAAATGCCTAAAAGATATGAATATTTAGTATTTTCATGAAATATAAGAGATTGCAGCTGCAACTGCAACTCCCTAGAACAAACAGCAACAACTTATGTCCATTACTATTTGTGGTATTATTGATTAAAATGTATTTTAAAAATAAAACTTTTGACAGAAATAAAGTGCTTTGATAATCGATAAATCATCCAAGTAAATTTTCAAGCAAAAGGTCAAACAATCCCTACTTCCAGCTTCTCAGTTTGGATGATGTGCTGCTGATCTTGGGCTTTAGGGAAGTGTGATGGGCCTTACTCACTGTTTTCTGACAGTTTATAGAACATAAAATAGTTGAGAAAATATTAAAATAATGAATACTTATGCTCTGTGGTTGCACTTCTTGTGTTTATGTCCCTTCCGCCAGGCTCATTTCCAGTGCTGCGGGAGCTGACAGAGGAGGAGAGGCAGCAGATCCTGCACTCTTCGGAATTTCAGAGCTTCTTCGACTGCAGCATTCGGGTGATGGAGCGAGCTCTTGCTGAAGACGGCGACATCTTCTTCGACTACAGCGGCCGGGACCTAGAGGACAAAGAGGGGTGAGCAGGGAGAAGGAAGGAGGGAGGAACATAGTCTGTGTTTGGATGTGAGAGCACATGTGAGTGTTTACTTGCATGCCTCAGACTAAGAAATGTGCTCAGACTGACTCATGCCCACTATGTCACTCTAGGGGCCTGGAAGCTGCTTTGTTCCATGTCTTCCTGCTGATGTCACACTCTCAAGAGGTTAAAAACTCTTGTGAACATGCCTTAAAGAGCATTGTCTTGCCATTTGAAGGGTTGCCTCCAAATGGAGGTTATCAAAGTGTTGGTTGAAGTTATACAAGTCATAAGTGCAAAGCTGTTTTAGTATACTGCTCTGCTATTATAGAAGAATGCTGCTTTTACTAGCTCACTTCAACTTTGACCACTGCAGCCTCAGAGGAGCATCAAGCCTGTGGTCAAATAGAGATTATGTCTAAAACAGGCCATAGCCCAGTGCTTAACATCAGTCCTCTTCTTGTTTCCATGGACATGCTATTCGTGAACTTTGTGAACAACTTATCCTACATTTAACAACCATGTGTTGTTACTGTTCATTCTCACATAGAATTGTGGATCATTCACACTTATAGTTTACCTTCAACTGAAGGTCAGAAAACTGTGTTGATGCAACTTTAGGAAGTGGCCAATGACACAACAATCTGCGTAGGATCTAGTTTGACCACAGGCGCCATGTTGGCTGAAATTTACTGACTCACAAATTCCTCCAATATCAAGTTAATATGCTGAATCAGCTGATGGCCGCCGACCAAGTCTCGACTTGATGTGTCACGACTGTTTTGTGTACCGTACATTAGATGACTTTAATTTAAAACACTGAGTGTCTTTAGCAAATACTGCATGTTTGTCTTTATGTTAGACAAAAAGACATCTCCTGTTTACTACCTTTGTAACCAAGTAAATCTCAGTATAGTTTTTTATTTCTGATAGAAGTTATAATATTATCTAGCTGCAGTGCCTTAAGGTTAAAAAGCTTCTCCACCTCCTCTGTACTTACTCTAGCTAGTACAGTGAATATCCAGATTGAAGGTACCTTAGCAGTGATCACAAACAACCCCTGCACACAAAAGCCATTTTATTTCTTGGAAGGTACCTATTTACGTTGGCAAGTACCTGTTGTGCGACTGGAAAAAAACTGTTGTCTTCAGGCTTACCTTTGACCGTTACCTCCACTGTCTTTTTTCAGGGACTTGGGTAGCGGTTCCAGCCTGTCTTTCAGTAGACTCTTCTATGATGAACACTGGTCGAAACATCGCGTAATCACCTGCCTTGACTGGTCCCTTCAGGTGAGGCCTGCAGCCATTTTGTGTCACTTTGAATTCAAACAGTGCATGAAGAAAAAACAATGCTTCTCCCAAATCTGAAGTCTGAAGTTCCAGTTATGCAGGTGTTAAGTGTCACTATTAAGACTATAAAGATGCTTTATAATATTTTGAATTAGTGTTTAGAATTAACTGTTTCTCCTCATTGTTGTATTGTGTGTTTTTTTCATTGACATCCCTCTTGCTCCCTTTCCCCTTTTCTCTCTCTCTTTCTCGCTCTCTTAGTATCCTGAGTTGCTCGTTGCCTCCTATAACAATAATGAAGATGCTCCTCATGAACCGGATGGTGTTGCCCTTGTGTGGAACATCAAATTTAAGAAGTCCACACCAGAGTACATCTTTCACTGTCAGGTACTTGGTAATTATCAAACCTCACACGTATTTCCAACACTACAGAATATATTTGCAGACTGTAGGGAAAAAGTTATTATTGCTCTTTCTGTGTTTTCCTGTTTAGTTGGGTGTTTAGTAGTATGAACAAACGTTCAGAATAAAGACATCTTTCTCTCATCTCCTTGCTTGCATCTCAGAATTTCACACTCCAAAGCACCATTCTTCTCCCTTTATTTGTCATACCTTATACAGCAACCCTACTGTTGGTCCATCCACTAATCTACAGCTTGTTCCTCTTTTCTACCCTATAATGACATCCCCTTTGTGACTAAAAATATAGAGCGAAGCAAAGGGAAATTAAAGGAAGCTCCACATGCATTCATTTGACCCTCTAGATTGGATCGTAGAGGAACGCGGCCACTGGAGGCCAGAAACATAGGATTTGGTGGGAGAGAAACCCGCTGATGGGTGTGATGCTAATAGCAAATGACACTGAGAAAATGGTAGAAGGAGGGAGGGAGAGGAAAGGGGATGGAAGGATTGGGTGTGAGGGCTTCATGGCTCCCACGAGACAGGCGAGGCCATATAGAGACGTCTTGGTAGTAATATGATGTGGCCTACCACTTCCTAATCCAATGCTGCCACATGTGTGTGTTAGCCCACCCACATTGCCGCATCTAATGTCAGCAGTGCTGCGTTTCACAATAATTGACAAGTCCTACTCATGAAGCTACACCTGTAATAGTATAAATGTCACAGGCATTCACCTCACTGCTTAGAAATAATGTCAGAAATGTGCACACATAATCTCACATTCAAGCTTCACTGAAAAAGGGGAATTAGATTTTCTCTCTTTTTCTCAAAAACACACAGGACCACATATTCCTGCAGACCACATGCTGCGTGCAAATATTTCGATATCAAGCTTGCCATATAAGTCTACCTCCATAATGGATTTTTAAAGCACCCCATTCTTTGACTGCACCATAATTTATGCTGCTGCTGAAATCCATGTGGTCTTACAGATAGATTACAGCTATGCATCTTGTAGCTGTAGGATTCAGTAATTTTTCCATGTGCTTCTCTGAGGAAATATGTGCAGTACATCTGACTTTATTATCAATGCGGTTTCTGAGCACGCTGATCTGTGAATTGTCAGTGTTTGAATATTAGACATTTGGGAACAAGGATATTTTTGTTAGCAGCTGATGAAATGCTCAGTTTATCACAAGGGGGGAATCAACTGCAAATGTGTACAACAGAGGTGAACAGTATTCAGGTTTAAGATCTGGAACAGAGAAATTGTTATCTATAATGTAACAAAGCATTGTCATTGTTTTTGATTCTCCGACACGCACTTCTACAAATACAGCCTTGTTCCGTTGCAGGGATTTGTTTAAAGTGATTGTTCACTGGAAATAAGTGTGTTATATGAAGTGATATCAGATGGAGAAAAGACGAGAAGAGAAAAGTGAGAGAGAACCGAAATTCCCAAGTGCCTACCCCCCCCAACATTTTAGTCAGTGAGTGTTGCCTGGGGCAGTGCCACGGTCTGGTCATGAGGGGAGAGCGAAAAGTGAATGACAGAAAAACAGAGAAACATAGAAAGATAGGACACGGAGCAAATGAGTGGAGACTTAGAAATTGAGTGCCCATATAAACTGTAGAGGTTAAAATGGAGATTAATATAGAGAGTGAGTACAAAATAGAGTGGAAAGAAGAAAAAAAGAAGAGGTTACAAGTCATTTGGAATCAGCCATGCCACTGCTGGATTTGGATGAAAGGAGGTTAGACAAGAGGAGAGACATTTTTCTTGCTCTTTCTTTCCTCGGGGGCCTTTTTGCAAGCAGAGTTGCGACTCTCTTGTTATCCGCGGATCAGATGGCTCTTAATGTGCGAGCATGTTCTGCTGTTTAACCCCCCGCTCCCCCAAACCACAGGTCCAGAGTGCCTCTTCCCCTTTCTGTCTCTACTTTCTCCTGTTTTTCTTTTCACCTTCCACCTCCCATCCCCAGATAGAGGAACAGAGAGGCAAGCTGTTCACGTGCTTTCTCTTTGCATCTGTAATCATACACACTCTCTGTTTATTGTGCACTTCACGCACACACACACACACACACACACACACACACACACACACACACACACACACACACACACACACACACAGACAGACAAGTACACATGTGTTGGCAGTCACTGCTACTGTTGACAGAAGATGGTTTACCTGCATTTCAGCCATTTTTGTTTCCCACAGAAGCAGCTTTTTATCTTGTGGATGGATAGGCTGAATATTATCAGAATATATGCACATGTTGCACATGTGTAAAGGCTGTGGCGTGTGTGTGTGTGTGTGTGTGTGTGTGTGTGTGTGTGTGTGTGTGTGTGTGTGTGTGTGTGTGTGTGTGTGTGTGTGTGTGTGTGTTGAGGATACAAAAGAATGACAGTGCTGGGTCAGTATTGGAAGGTTGGGGTTTGTGGTTGAGGTCTGGTTCAGCAGAAGCCTTATTGTATAAGGCTATGGCTTATAGAAGGCTTCATGTTTCAGATGGGGTTTTGCTGAGGTCAAGCTTCTATATTTCTTGTCTGGCTGTGCACAGTTTGGTGAATGGGCTTAGCAATGCAGAATTGTCCTTTTTAACAACATTTAACCTCGTATTCAGGGTTTAAATGTATTTGCTGAAACAAGTGAACATTTTTGTATTTTGATACAGATTATCCACTGTTATAACAATTTTGTTTATTTGCATTGGACACACAATGATTTCTTAAAGAAAAAAATTAGTTCTTTATTTACTTTGCAGTAGCGTTGATGGGGTTCATGCCCTTGACGTGCTGGTGTGGTGGAAAGTGAAAAATGTAAAAGCTGGTGTTGGTTTGATTTTGGGAGGCGTCTCAGTGAGTCTGACTTTAGGCAGTCTGGGGATTGTGCACTAACATTTTTGGCAATATGCAGCAGTGTTGTAATATTGCATTCTACTGTAATGCAATAGTTAGACAGACTGGTCCTGGTTTAACAAATGATGTTCCCTTGTGGACTAAACAAATCTGGCAGTTGTGCATTCAGTGTTCCATCTCTGTCTCTTCTTCCTGCTTCGCTCTATCTTTCCCTCCAGTCTATGAGCTAATTATTCATTTACCTCACACTTCTTTATTAAAAAGTTTGTAATGGGTTTTTTGGCTCTCAGGATGAAAACAATTGAAAGTCCAATTGAAAGTCCAATTTTAGAATAATTTGACTGCAGATGCATCAATTCCATTTATAGAAATAAACACTATTTAGCTTCATATTTAAACATCTTTATACATTTGGTGATTTAGGCCCCTTTTTTATTAACCTATTCTTATATCCATTGAAATCTATAATTGTTCTCTAACTGATTAAGTCTAGACAGTGAATAACCTATATCTGAAATGAAACAGTATCTCTGTATACTAGGGGGCCTTTGCAATCCCCGTAAGGACCCATGGCAGTTTCATGACCTCACTTTAGGAGCCATTGATCTGTAATATAGTGGAGGAAATGTGTGATCCATTGGTGTGTGGATTTGGTTTGTACTTCAGGAAAGGGGCTGCCGCTGCTGTGGATTCTGGTACCAGTTGAGCGTGCCTCCCCTCATCACGGCCGTCCCAGCAGTTGGACCCATCATCGCCTCATCCCAGTTGGGTCCAATCTTGTAACTTCACACCAGCCTCTCAAGTGGGCAAAGTCACACCACATTAAAGGGCCCGTTTGACTTAAAACCTCTGCTGAACCCCCCAAACCACACGCCTCCCTGTTACAACCCCCACCGCTACTGTCATATCTCATTGGACTCAGCCATATTTTTATTAATATCTCGCTGCCTTGCATCGCTCCCTAGGCCTTTGGCACTTCCAGAAAGGTTGAGTAAGAGAAGCAGAGCAGGAGGAGAGGAAAGTGGGAGGGAGTGTGATGGAGAGATTTAGAAAGAGAGAACAGTGCAACAGCATTATTCACAGGCCTTGTCTAAGTTGGAAGCCATGGGAAATTACACTAGAAGACGAAGTGGCATTGTGTTCAGAAAGCTTAGTAAAGAAACCCTCGAAGTGCTCACTGAACACTGAGTTAAGACTGTGTGACTGTATCTGATTCATGGTACACTAAGTAGATGTTGCTTCTATTGGCAAAAATAACATTGAATTTTGTGGTACATTTGATTATTTTGTACAACTTTGACTGTGGTATTATACGGAGACGTTAAAGGCAGTGTCTGAAGAACTAAGAATAACTTTTAGGTGGAACCTCAGAAACTGATCTAAAACAGGTAACTTTTTAGACTTTAAGCTGTGTTTCATTTAGGTGATGTTCTATATTTAATACTTGTGCATTCAGTTGCAGTTTAGCCTATTTTATAAATCACATATAGAGTTAAAGGAAGAGTTAAATTTCTTACATTTCTTCACAACTATAGCTAATTAGCTGTATTGCTGATAATTAGATGAGAAGATTGATACCACTCTTTTATCTGACTGTTAAGTTTAAGGCTACAGCCAATAGCCAGTTATCTTAGCTTAGCATAAGATCTGGAAATGGGAAACCATCTAGCCAAAATCTGCATACCAGCTCCTGTAAAACTGACTAGTTAACACATTGTATCTAGTTTGTTTAATTTGTATAAAATCTTAAATGTAAGAACAACATGTTGTAGTTTTATGTTGGGTTACTGTATGTAGGACTGTTTCTCCCTGTTGTCTTTTGGTGTTGTCACGGTGAGGTTACCAGGCAACCACGACAACTGAAGTTGTGGAGACCCTGCAACTCTCAGCTAGAAAGCATGAAAGCAACTTCCAATAAGCAATTAACTATTCCTTTAAAACATTCTCTTCAGACCAAAGTATCAAAGGAAGTATTGTTTTGCTATTAGTACCAAAACTTCAGAATTGTTTTGGCACCAGTATCTAAAAGTGCAGATCGATACCCAGTCGTACAACAACAGTAAGTGTTTGACAGGAGTCCTTAAACAGCTGCATTTTATGTTGTTTATATTCTCTAAAAC